TCATTTGCACACTCTTGGTTTCCAAAAGGCCAGTCTCCAAATTTGCATCTCTTCCTGGGGCTCAGTAGTTGAAGGCTACAAAGATGTATGGTTTCACTGTAAAAGGGTATGCTTCCATACAGATGTTGTTAGGTATATGCTGTTTCCAGAAGTAAGTGCATCTTAAGGTCAAAAAGTTGCATGTAAGATAAAAGAGGGGACTAAAGAAAGGGTCGCTTCCTGTTCTGCCCTCTACTCTCACCAGCATTAAAACCCTGCAGATAACTGTGTTAAAACCAGTCCCATGGCTGAAACATGAGAGAAGTACAGGAATCCATTAAGCTGTTTAAAATTTACTTGATTAACACTTGCTAGATTTGACGCACCTTCCCCTTGAGGACTGGAGCTACTACTGTCTAAGCTTGATCGTACTAATCTCACAAATACTGTGTCATGGTAGGTAAGTATCATTTCTTACAGATAAGGCTGCTGAGACACAGACAAATAACATACCCCCATGTAATACAAGACCCAGAAATAAAACACAGTCTTTATTTATTATAAAGAAATTAGGGAGTAAATTGCAAATGACTGTTTGCCTCTCCTTACGACTGCTACTGCCTAGCAACGATTGCCAGATAGGATAAACATCATTAACAGTAAAAAGTTTAATGTCTGAAAGACATTAGGAGTGCTGACATGTGGTCTTGAGGTGTCTCTGAACTATTTTAAGATATTATCTGTCTTTGCATTTTGGGTCTAAGAGTAGTCCCAGCCTTGCCCACAGTATGTGTATACGTGTGTGTGCAAACTCCTATGTATAGAATGGAATATGTATTGCACGATGCTTATAAAGAAGTATAGTAGGGAAATGCTTCTGCAGCCAAAAACAAATTGGAAATCTTTCATGCTACATACAGGAGCTTCTCAGGAAATCATTCAAGCTCTCTCTTCCTGTCAGGCTGGGGAATACGCCTCTTAATTTCCCCTGACAGAAAACACATCACCTCATCAGCAGTCCTAGAAAACAACGAAACATCCCTGCTGAAACAGACTGACTGCCAAGTGCTTTCATTGCCACTGCAGCAAGGGGGACAGAGAGGAGGGGCGTGCTTCAGACCTTTCAGGGGAGTAGAATAATTTACCTGTAGAGTCCCACCGTTACACCTTGTGTTGCTGCAAAACGCTCATCTCATAGTCAAGGTGTGCCCTTTGAAGAACTAATTTGAACCAGAGGGTACACAGCTATTTAACTCTGAAAGAATAATTTATAGTCCTGAATCTGGATAGTATGAAATTCTCTTATAGTGTTTGAGCCAAGGCAAACATCCTGATGGAAAATCTACACCTGCAGATCTCTTACATATTTAAAGTGACGGAACAAATACAAGTCAGTCACATTCTGTGCTGTGTGCATTAGTGGTAATCTCATCTGAAGTTGCTCTGGAGTTTCTTAAAGGTGTTGTAGCAGTAGTATAACAAAATTTGAATTTATTGGAAGATTTGCTGCTGCAATTTGACTTAAGTGAGTGTTTTAGATAAACTTCAAAATTCTGAGGAATCATTGCATTTCTGAGTCATGTAATTACATTCAGAGTCTGTGTATAATATAATATACTTATATAATTACAGTCAGAGTATAGTCAAATGATACATCAGGACAAAGGGTCTTTATAGGCTATCATAACATCATTACTTCAATGTATTTATATTGCTGGGCTTTTTTTTATAAACCAGAATTATGACGGGATGAGACTATTTTATCATCACTCTGCATATTTGTGGAACTCTGGAACTCTAACACCAGCATATTTTTCCCCACAATAAGGAGTACCTTTATAAATCAGAGTGACAGAGATCAATGGGGTGTGTGTGTATATATGTATTTTTATATACATATATATATGCACGATACCTCTACTAAATATACTAATATTGTATTTTTATATAAATATACTACAATGGACCAGCTGCCTGTTACAGTGAAATTACACAGTCACATAGAGGACTGCATAAGTCACATTCCCACATGAATGGTTCTAGTTCTCAAGTTGCAAAGATGATTTTCAAGCTGTGAACTGGGTGGAAACTGTTGCTGTCGTGTCTGCATTAAGTGTTCGGACAGCCTGAAACTAAAGCCTGGAGAGTTTTGAATGTCTCTCTTTTCATTTTGGTGGGGATTAGACTCTTGGCATGTAGTGAAATAGAACACATTGGAATAATTCAGGGTTTCCAAGAGTTGCTGAAGTGATGAAATGTATGGCTGGAGGATTTTCTCTCATATAGCTGGGTGGTCATCTGTGACAAGAATGGTCTTCATTTTTTATTTGTGAGTTGAACAGCTGCCAGTTATTTGGCTAAAAGAGCAGCCAGAGGATCCTTGGGAAAAGAGTGGGACAGAGAAGTGTTCCAGCAGGCCACAGGTTCTGTGCGTTCTGCATCCAACCCTGTGGAGATGGTAACTGCAGTAGATGGTTAGACCTGTGTAACATACCCTCTGCAGGATGCAAAATCCTCCCAAGTTGCGTGTATGTACATGTATGTGTATTGCAAGCCTAAGTAATGTATATATGTGTGTGCCAAGTATGGTTTGGCACATTGGCATTCTGATCCGGATGGAGGTTTTTATTATATATCATTCTCTGTCAGACGTGTTCAGCTCCAGGTCTTGACCAGGAATGAAATTATGATTTTCATTTAGGTACATGTTGTGACTTTGAACATTTCAGAGCTGAGCTTACTGGCTGAGGCATTTCTCTTGTATATTGAATTTATGACTGTAATAATGGACTTTCATTGGCTTGGTTTCAAAGATTTGTGCATCGTAGTGATTTGGGAGCTAAGAAATATTAAAACTGTGAGTAGCTACTTTGGTTTGAATGAGTTTAGCAAAACTTACTGGCTTTAGAAAATGCAACAATTTTTCTCCTAAGATATATGCAGAAAGTTAACAGATTAGGAAAGCAACTGGCCTGTCCCAAAGTTTTGTACAGTCAGTCCCCATAAGCCTGTTAAAATCAAACTTAATTTAGATAAAGAATTCACTCCTGATTGTAGCTGTAATACCTTGCTTTGACTTTAGAGAGTACATCTGAGTACATTGTAGCAGGAGGTTTTTTATTTGTGCAAATTGTTTTTTAACAGATCCTATCTTAAAATTTTATAATGAAGGTATTTATTAGGAAATAAATGTAAGAAGAATCTCTCCAGAGCCAAGAGGGAATTGTGGTGGTAGCTGGTTTATCTGCTTGTTTCTGGTAATGACATGATGCAGTACTATTTAATAAAATATGATTTCTGTAGGGGTGGAGTTTTGAAGCCCTTGAAGATATTAGCACTTATAATCCTGTATAGGATAAGGAGTGAGTAATGCAGTGAAAATAAGTCCCAAGGACATAATTACAGGAAACTACTTGGTTGTGGACTGCTTGTCCTGCCAACATGAAGAAGCAGGCACACTGAGAAGGATATGGTTAGAGAAATTTGAGGAACATAATTGGGGTGTGCTGGCAAGACTGACACAGAGCAGACATCTCTTACCGTCTCCTCTGGTGCTCCACATCACTTTATGTCACTTATTTGAAGATGTCTAGTCATATCTTCAAAATTATCCTTGCTGGACTTGAACCAGAGAATGGGAATAAATTATTTGTATTGCAGAATTCCTCTGCATTTTAAAGATGCTTACATTCAATGTTAATAATGGAGCTCCTCATTTAATTCAGTATATTGCTGCTCCTTGTAACCAGCCGTAAATTCTCTGCAGTCCTGTATGTGCTGATACACTAGAAAATGATGTATCTTGTTTATTAGTTCAATATCATCAAATAGCCAGGGGATTTCATGCAGGAGGCATTTTTACACAGGGCTTTTGCCTGCAAAACAACTCCAGCAATGCCAATGGGAGGCTGCATATTTCTGTCTCATACAGTGAGAGCTAGGAAGAAATTGGTTTTGATGTGCCTTCAAGTGCAAACACAAACTACGTGGAGACAACTTGCTTGTCGTTGTTCCCAGCAGCAGTGACTTAGCAACCCAAGTTCACTGGTAATTGTTACCAACTCTTTACTTTTTTGTGTATTTTCCAGATATAGCTGGCAGGAATTTGTGCAATCATTTTATTTGTTGGTGTACAAGAAAGGCAGTTATTTTGCGTTCTCTCTTACCAGTATAGCTTGCCACAGTTCTTACAGGATGAAAAAGAAATGAGAAAATAACTTTGAACACCTCTGTGGAAGAACTCCTAAAAGGACAGATCCGAATAGCTGTTTCTTAGGAGTTGTGCTGCTGCCTCATTTTCAGTGAGATAAATGGGATTTTGCCTGCTCATGGGATTCTCTTCAGAAATTAAAGCTATCACTTCCAGTGTGGATACATATTTGAATGGGACTGAGCTACAGTTGAGTTACAGCTCAAGAAGTCCCACTTCCCACTATCTTTGCTGCTGTCTCAGCGTAGGTGCATGCTCTTAGCCTGTGCTGTGCAGGAGGAAGTTGTAGCTCATGGCACAATGAAAGGTCCCTGGGATCTGGTTCAGGTGTCAGCTGGAGTCCAGCAATGCCATCTTCCACACCATAACTTCAGTGATAGTGCTTAGATCCAATGATCATATGTTTACAATACAACATAAGGAAAGACAAATTGTGTGGCAGTACAATCAGAGACCACAGTTTTTAAGAAACTGAAAGCAATCTTTTAAGATCTTTCTCACTTCCCAGTGGGTGCTGTCACATCAGTTTCAGTTTGCACCTTTGTAATCTTTATGAGGGCAAACGGTGGCAATCTAATTCCTAAATTTGCTTCCTGTCTCTCACTGGTGACAAAACGCATACTTAGCAGTACTACAGACCAGATCGTAATAACATCAGTCGAAATGTGTAATGTGATATATGCTGATAGCATATAGTGTAGCTTATGAATATTTGGCATTTTCATCTTCCCAGTTGCTTCGAAGTTTAAAGAGAATTTTCTCATTTGAGCCTGTCACTTTTGATGCCAATTCATCCTTTAATGTCTTCCAGCTTGCCACTTTAGAATTCCCCCCGAAGAAGCTCTTTGGAAACAAGGATGAACGAGTGATTGCAGAACGACGGAGTCACTTAGAGGTAACACTAACTTTTTAACAGGCTTCTGTGGTGTATTTAGATGGAGAACTCTCTGCTTGACCACCAGAAACCATTTCCATATGGTCAAAGCTAAATAGCCTGCTCCTAAGTATCAAGTTTCTTGCTGCCTCTTTTAACACAGGAGATGGCAGCAGTAGATTGCAAAGTAATGAAACATGCCTTAACACACAAAAAAATTAATCCTAGTCTAGGAAAAACCCCATCTCTTCAGAGATATTCATAGGAGGTACGTTTATTTAAGGGGGAAAGGTTGTGGGTGAGGTAAGTGTTCACTGTAGACAGATGGTCTCTGTTCAAGACAAGATTAAAAAAAAAAATATTGCTACTTTAAATGCAATTTATTAGCTGAAGATTTACTATTTTATCATAGTTACTATATCCAAATATGACAGAAGGAAAGCAACATTTAGGCATCTTTGAGCTTTATTTTGTAACCCAGCTTTCTGAATGTTTTGGGGTTTTTTTTCCCCTTTCAATTAATTTTAAAAAGTAATTTTATTGTGGACAAGGTTACTGAGTTAATGAGGATTTGTGGGGTTTTTTGGTTGTTCTGCAGTGCCATGTGAATGACATAATTTTGACTCCTATCACACATTAGGTCTTCAAATTTCTATGTTAATGAATGTGTTATTGCAGCCCAGGGGCAGGAGGTGGGGTTTTGGGAAAGAAGAATAGGTATGAACAAAGACTAAGCCATACGCCCTGCAACTATATTGTAGCCACATGGGGATTACCTGATCATGCAAGTCATTACAAATTATATTCTTTGTAGAGCTAAAGTAGCATTAAGTAGAGATCTAGAGAAATTAATAGAAAAGTAGATTGCTTCCAACTGGAGTCTTTTCGTGCTTGTTTTGATTTTTTTTCTATGTACTTCACCTTCTCTTTGATCTGCCAACAAAACATCCTCCCACTGACTTTTGATATGAGGCTGTCTTACATGACAAAATATAATCTGGTTTTTTTGCTTCATGTCCTCTATAGAAGGCATAAAGACATGGCCACATTCCAGTCTAGTACTCAATTTGCATATTTTTGTACCAGTTAGAAATTTAATCCCTTAATCTTTCTGACCTTTCATTGATTTACTAACAGATTTTATTGTAGTGTTTCTAGATGATAAAACTGCTGTGTATAGTGATGCTTTGATCATGGTATTATAGTACTTATAGCTCTCTACATAGCCAGATTTTGGCTTAAAATTAAATTTTACATTTAATACATTTAATATGTATTTTAACTAAATTAAGTCATTAAAACTCCGTTACCTGCATATTTTGCAAACATAATAATATGACCACTGTTCACATGGGTATGTTTTGCCATATGCCAGATAGCACAGTTGGCCATGCCACTCAATAATCCTGACAAATCACTCAGTGTTGGAGAAACTGAAGATTCCCACATTGCCCAAGGAAAGTTAGATAAAGAGGACAAGGAGCCAAGCAAATGTTACCATCCTTGCCATGAGGAATTTGATGCAGCAAGCTGATCAGTACTCCCTTATGTCTGGATCCATACTATAATTGTATTTTCTTTTCACTATGTATTTTGCAGTGGTTTGCTCTGGCTTTGCCAGTGGCACAAGAATTTCAGCTAACATAGCTGCAGCCTTCTTGGTGAAGGGTGAGAGAAACCACCTAAGTAGTGATGGTTTCCAAAGTCATGTAATGCTTTGAACGCTTAAAGTATATCTTCAATTATACTGTGAAAATTGAAGTAATACTGTGATAGTGGAACAGGGCCCAGACACCAGTTCTATTTAGAACACTGGCTGTAACTGCCTTCTGGATTTCAGTCCAGTATGAACCTTGAGCACACGTCAGTGCACTAACCAGAAAGCAGTAAATGGATAGATTGCCTCTATAAGAGATGTGTTTTCTTAGCCTTTGACCATAGTGTGTTTCTCACGTGGGAATTCAATCAGGTAAAAGGTGAGGGCATTAGACCTTGGTAACAAGCAGAAACATGGCTTGTATTCAGTTGGTTTTCATGCTTGATCCTATACCTCAATTTGCTGAAAACCCTTTGTAACCTCCTTCAAGCCTCACAGGTGATGTGTTATAATGGCTGTAGTGTGATATAAAAGTTGATTTGATTGTTCCACATGGTTAGTCAAGAGCTAATGAGCTAATACAGCATTTTTAGACAAAGCAAGACACAGCTTCCAGGCCAACAAAAATGTATATTCTTATCCAATGTCTGAGCTGACCTTATTGACTAAAAATAGATGACAGCCTGACAAATACCAGTCCGAAGAATGTTCTGAACAAATACTCTGTGTTGTAGAATCAGTAGCAGAGCTCTCATCCTGGTGGTGGATGACAAAGAAATTACTCTGCTCTTCCAGCTTTTACTTTAGGTATTTATACATTTTGAATAGGCTTTCACTTCATGTTGTATTTCCTGAACTCTTTGGATTGAAGCAGGACAGTACAGCTTTGGATAGTCCAGTGCTTTCCACAGGACATCTCTGAGCAACAGCACTTTTTTTTTGGTTTACATTTTTTCCTTTTTTAAGTAAGCACATAAAAATTAACATTCAAACTCCAGCGTGCACCTGCGTGAGGGATAAGACAACTTAATCTGTCATTTCAGTCAAACAGCCTGACTAGAGTATTTGCTGGAATTAGCAGTTAGTTACTGAAATGGCCTTGCAGGCTCTTTTCTTTACATCAAAACTGAATTGCAGCTTTTCAGTCTGAACTGGGAAAATGAAGCAGATAGCCTGGGAGTCACTGCAGGTTAAAACTACTCTTCCAATTAACAAAGTGTACCACAATCAGAGATCTGGTTCTAGTGCAGATATCTAAACTGTTACTGATTTGAATAGCTTTGGCTTTAGTCAGGGAAATCTTCCTTGTGTCTAATTATAAAAAGATTTGTCCAAAACCTTCTTTGTGGGATAGTTTAGGAAGAGTTTGAGGGGTTTTTTTCTACACATCATCTCTCAGATTCTTGCCACAATAGAAGTGCTGAGGACAGCATGAGGTTTGTGGTACCTTTCAAGGGAACTGGAGTCAGGGGAGCCAGCTGAAGAGTGTGTTTTAAGATTGTCATGAAGAGTTACCTTATTCCAGCTTGACATTAGAAGTGAACATATTTCACTGTAATGGAAATTAAATTACTTGAAGTAAAAGACTCCAGAGAGCCCCAAATTCTGAAGATTGTGATTTAAAATCACAATAAATGTGAAGTTCATGGAAAACATTAAGTTCTTTTCTTTATCCTAGCTGGTACAAATGCTTAATAACCAAAAGCTTCTGAATACCTTGTTGGTAGGAAAGCACATTGAGTACTATTTTTCTGTGAGATGAACCTGAAGAGAAGTCTTTGATCTCTAGTGTGATACAAACACTCTTGCTTTGGTGTTTGTTGGTGTAGTATAAAGACTTTCAAGCAACGTCATATTTCTGTAGAGGTTTGGAAAGATAACATGCAAGTTTGCACAAATGTTTTGCCTACACATCTTAAGAGAAAACACCTAAATTGTATTTAAAATTACCTATCTAAAATGCCCTATTGCAATCTGCTAATTCAGTATTTCATCAGGGACCTGTTGCAGGGCGAAACTCTAAATTAATTGTTCCACAGTCTAAAGACTGTAATTTCACTTCAGAGCCAACCTTGCTTGATTAAATCCACCTTAAATGAAACAGCCAAGAATTCTTTTGATTAAATTTAATGAATAGAAGTTAGTGTGTATCTATCCCTTCATGCAATTAGAAATCAGTAGATAAGAGTATAAGGTCTTTCTTTTTTTTTTCAAATGAAATCAGATGGCATATATTCCTTTTTTATTTTTTAAGCAAAAACTTTATAAAGGAAACACATGTCACAAGAGATCCATGATTCAGTGAATGTATGTGTTCCCATTTTAACTGCAGAATATCTCTTATTCCTTGGTGAGTTGCTATACCTGTGAATGACAGTAAAAAGAAGTTTTCCTAAAATACCAGCTTCTTTGGATACTGCATTTCTGTATTGTATCATTCTCCTGATCATTTTTCTTCTTCTCTTAGACCCAGGCTTTGTTGTTGGAATGAAGATTATTATTAGCCCCATTTTCCCATTATGCAGCCAGAAAAGCTGGGCAGGAGTCTAAGCTGACATAGCAGACTGAGTCATGTTTCTTGATTCCTTGGTCAGAAGCCTTGCAGTCATGGAACCACAAGGCTTTCTTTTCCCCTCTTGCTGTCACCAGCATGCTTAGGAAAAAAACAATTGTCACACTGACAGAATCCCAGTAGGTTGTTGCTGAAAGGAAAGCAAAAGCTCCCCCAAGCTTTGGCCTGTCTCCTTGTGTCTGTTCCCAGTTTCCCATTCCCAATTCCCACTGCTGCATTTCCTCAGGTTTCGTTGTGGACAACAAAGGGGAACAAACAAAATTCCTGATCAGGCAGCTCAGTGGTTGGTAGGAGTCGTGTGTTTCCTTTTGCTGCCACTTACAGAGCTCAGAGAATGAAAGGTCAAACCCTAACAGTATGGTAGGGTGAGCTTACATCAAGCACATACGTCTTCCTGGCATTGTCTCTGCACTTCTTTTTTTCTCTTGGTACTTTGAACCTCTTTAAAAGATAGACATGCTCAATTTATTTAAAATTAATAATACAATTGTCCTTAACCTCCTCACTTCCTCATGTCTGCTGATGAGGTTTTTGATGATAGGTGTTAATGCAAGAGGCAGACATAAATCTTGTATGAACTTCATAATTCAATTTTGCTCTCGAATCTGTATAACTGGCAGGGGAAGGCATTGTAGACACTGAACTGACTGAAATATTGCTGTTACCTACAGTCAAAATTAAGCTTCCAAAAAAAGATTCTTTAACTTAGTAGCCAAATGCTTTGTTTTGTTTTTAGTTTGTATTCTCACTTCAGTTCCTTTGGAGGTGGTAATTTCTAGGGGATTTATTTTGGTAAAGGGGTCTAAAGCTAGTGAGGTTCTGCTGGTTTTGCATGGCTCCAAAAATCTGGTT